CCCCCCCCCCCCCATAAAATCCGTCTATGGTTTCAGCTTGCCCGGTGTGGATGCAGTATATTCATATGCATATTCACCCGAGTACAAAACACCAACACACACAAAAAGTAACATGTCTGATATACCTGCTTGCTGCGAACTCAAACTTTATTTTTTACGTAGACAATTAAACCTCTTTAATATCTGCTTACCTTTAAAACCAATTCATCAGATTTCTTTTCACCCTTCGGACCATCCTTCGGTTTCCCAGCTACTGGCCACCAACCTCTCACCCTTTCTTTCTCAAACAACGAATTGCAGTTGGCTTCATCTGATAGCAACGGCCAATCTTTAATATCTTTCGCCCTGCCATATGGTTTGGGTAATTTGTGCAAGTTCAGTACCACATTACCTTAAAAATTGGACATTATGTAACTTTATCATCGATAAACAAAGACTGCGGTATCGATTTGAGGGCACTTTATATGTCAATTAAAAAAAAAACGACAGTGGAACCCATATCAACGGATACCTCTCTGAAACGGACACCCTTTTCTTTAGCGGACACTAATACCTACGATCCCAATGATTTATTTACTAAAACGTTCACAATGAGCCGAATAACTCCTCGTAAGCGGGCAAACGAAACCGATGAATGTAAATATGCTAGCTGCTGAAACAAATTTTCATAACAATCAATGATGGAAATCAATTTGAAGAAAATTCACTAGACACAAAGTTGTTACTAAGAGAAGAATCTTTTGCATGTTCCGTAACACGCGTTCAAACCTATCGAATATATTTCTCCACTTGGTAATGACTAGTATATCCAGTTTTTAATTCGTGATAACGTCTCTCAAGCGGGAAACACACTTCAAAAACTCATTAATAATTCAGGAGCAAAACACAAAGAAAAATCATAAGCGTGTCGTGGTTTTATATGTGATAAAAAATCACGTTAATTTGCATAAACTTTAGCTTTGATTTTCTCGGTTTAGACAAAGTTTATTTTTAAAATTACTTCGCCAATTAACTCCTATAAGATGAGTCGTTTTTGAAGCTATTTAAAGCACTTGTAGTCGTGTTTTATCACGTATAAAACACTCCGCTACGCGTCGTGCTTATGCTTTAAATAGTACTTAAAAAGTATGCTTAGTGCTTCATCTGCAAAATTATGCCACAATGAAGATATTTTGGATGTTCAGTTCAAAAGTTCAGTAAGTTTTGCTTATATTGCTGTATATAAATATGGCGTCAATTTTACAGCATCAATGATAATTGTATTTAAATTGACAATATTTAAGTATTATTTTGTGTTTCTCAACCGCCCAGATACATTGAAAGCGGACATCCCCCTTAACGGACATATTGGCGAGGTCCCGAAGGTATCCGCTTAATAAAGGCTCGACTGTGCCATAATGAAATTAGTTTCTTTTCCACATCTAATTTCAGCTGTTCCAAAGCGTCGTAAGTAAAAGAATCACTGTTTTCAATTTATTTCATAAATTTCTGTTAGCTGTAGTAAAATGACATCATGCATGCAAGGGGTCATGGCCTTTTTTACATTAACTTAGGTAAATTATTGCAAAGAAATACACCGTTGTAACCAAAACGTCTCTTTTTAGACTCAGTTAAAGCATGGCCCATCGAAAGGAAGATGGCTGTGAAACTCATTACAATAACAAAATAACTCATTATCTATGTTGGTCAACGTTTATTCATAAATCTTGTCCTTCACCGTCACGTGTGCATTGTATTTTTGCCAAATCCACCAATAACAATTTCCAATTTCCCTATATTGTTCGAGTCATGGATAGGTAACTTTCCTAAAACATTGCTATTGGTTAATTGGGCAAAAATACAATACACACGTGACGGTGAAGGACCAGATTTATGAATAAACGTTGGCATATTGTTATTGTAATGAGTTTCACAGCCATCTTCCCTTTGATAGGCTATGGTTTTGGGCATTGGCAGAACTAAACCAATCGGTGTCATTACATATTTCGTAAATCGTGCGAAATAGGACAATCGCTAATATCCGAGAATAATCCATTTACATTAGGTGCATGCAGTTAAATTATTTAATAGTGCATATATGAGGACCAATTTTATATAATCACGGCCTATTTCTAAGATTTTCCAATTGAAGATTTCTTAGAGCAACGTTTTGCATTTTCAAATGACGACGAGACGGTTGAACACTTTCATGATGCATGCATATTCTAATGTGTTTTTGTCGAGACTGTGATTTGGCTTATGGTCTATTTATCTCATAATTTAAAATTGCATACCAATGAAATCGTTCATGCTCAACAAATCATTGTCCCAAATTTCCACAGTTAGTTGCGGTGGTATTTCTTCTGCATATTTACGGAGACTCAAAAAGTGCGCCTGGAAAAAGAAGAAAACAACAAGATCAATTTGTTTTTCAATATGCTTGGCCGTATTTCGAGGAAGGATTTAACTTCAGTGCATGCAGGCTCAATATAACCTGACACATCCGCGGGCCAAATTGAAACGGAATACAATGATCAATGATTAAATCAAACCGTTGTTAAAGATTGCCAACAGACTGGCATATTAGCGCTTGATTTTTGGATAATTATTAAATATTTGCCTTTCGAAAAGTATTAAACCAAAATCCGTTTTTATGTTATAGTGCAAAAATCTAAAATTGAAGTTACGAAGCTACTTGCTCAATGTGATTCTTATATCGTCACTACTGAGGTTCAACATAACTTTGAACTAAATGTTGTGTTACAAGTGTCGTTTTTCCTTGCTCTGGGAAAGAAACGGCTCGAATTTCATTGCGCCGTTTCCGACGCGAGAAAAGAAATCCCACGTGTATCATGCGGCAACCAAATTGCAATTTGATATCTTCCGCGATCGTTGTCGAGAGTTAAGGAAGCGGTCATAAAGTAACTGCTAGGGTGGGCTGGAGTGATTTGGGATGAGCCATGGAAAATCTTTGGGCAGTTTCGATGGGCCGCCAATTTTTTGGTATGTCCACGGTTGGGCCACCAGACAAAAACCCATGTTAATTATATATTATATAAAGATATTGAAGCCAGTATTTGGTTTTATACAACAACAAGAAGTGGTTGAATCACAGCAAATACAACCAACTGGAGAGCAGCTCAGTATATCGTAATTGTTGATGAATGTGTTGGTCAAGCTTAGTGGAATTATGTATGTCAATACAGTGCCGGTGTATATTTACAATGTTCATACCTGCAAGTTTTTTTTTATTATAAAATTGTATACTCCCAATTTAGATTGGGTGGGTGGGTCATGAAATAAATTTGGCAAGATTAGATGGGCTCTGAAATTTTTATCTACATCCTAAGATGGGTCCATCCTAAGATGGGTCACCAAGCTTATTGGCAAAATTTGTGATTTACCTCCAGCCCACCCTAGCAGTTACTTTATGACAAGTCCGTAAAACCGTTTAATTTTCGGCAACGATTGCCGAAAATATCAAATTAAAGCTGATTATGGTTAGGGCGTTTTCCAATTCATTTCCAATTCAGTTAATAGTGGAACTAATGACTTCGACACGAAGGAAAATGCTACGATATGGTTGAAGATGAAAACATGTACAGCCTTCCAGCCGATAAAAATCTCTTTATACTTGACAAGTGGACTGGTCATAAGTATCCCATAAGTATCAAGTTGAGGATAATACCGCAATCGGTAGTAATAATTTCGATGGACACTTTTAACAGCTATCTAAGAAAATATGAGACAGCCAGCTAATTGGTTAGATGTTACTCTGAGTATTCATCCACACTGAGCAAGCTGAAAAGTTTGCTTGGCCACGGTGGGAATCGAACCCGCGACCTTTGGAATACTAGTCCAATGCTCTGCCGACTGAGCTACGTGGTCAAGTCGGTTCGAGTTGATGATATTTCGGAACTGAGTCTAGTTCCTTCGATATCAGTGTATTCTATGATATGATATTTTGTGTGTGTTGGTGTTATGTACTCAAGTGAAAATGATGTTTGCGACGTTACTCTGAGTATTCATCCACACCGGGCAAGCTGAAAAGTTTGCTCGGCCACGGTGGGAATCAAACCCGCGACCTTTGGAAAACTAGTCATAGATATCTTGTACACTAGATAGCGCATCTCGTTTAGTAAAATTGAAGCCAAGAATATTCCAGCGGTTACCCTCATTTGAATAGATGGCGTCCATGTTGGAGTTTCCCACTCGCTAATAAACGCTTAAAAAACAACAATAACTTGCATCATTTGAACAGTTTGAAAATGTATTTGGAATAGGTTTAACTTAATGTTTAAGTTCCCTGTTTAAGAAATAGAAAACATACGAGTCTTCTCATTTCATGGGAATATCCTGAGTCTGCAATCACGGCTTCAATTTTTGAAGTGTAGAATAATTAGATGCACTATCTAGTGTATATATATAAGATATCTATGACACTAGCCAATGCTCTGTCAACTGAGCTACCCTGTACGTGGTCAAGTCGGTTTGAGTTGATGATATTTCGGAACTGAGTCTAGTTCCTTCGATATCAGTGTATTCTATGATGTTATATTTTGTGTGTGTTGGTGTTATGTACTCAGGTGAAGATGATGCTTGCGATGTTACTCTGAGTATTCATCCACAGCGGATATCATGAACTTGAACCGACTTGACCACATAGCTCAGTTGGCAGAGCATTGGACTAGTATCCCAATGGTCGCGGGTTCGATTCCCACCGTGGCCAAGCAAACTTTTCAGCTTGCCCTGTGTGGATGAATACTCAGAGTAACATCGCAAACACCATATTGACCTGAGTACATAACATCAATACACACAAAATAATTGGTTTAGTTTAAATTTAAAGATTTTGCAACCCCATCGTGAAAACGATCAACTCGCAAACCTTGCATATTTTATACGTACTTTTTTCATAACAATGACTCTGTGTTTAGTTTTTGAATATTCGAACGGAAACACCATTCTGTAGTTGAACATTCCATCACCATTCAATGATCTAATAAAAATCCAAGATGGTGGACAACTCAATTTAAAATACTCATTAATAATTCATAAACCTTGTGGCAAATCATGTCAGCCATAATATGTCACGTGGAGTGACTTTATATCTGATAAAGCATGTGGCATTATATAATTGTTCATCCTAATTAGTATGATTATATAATGGTTCATCCTAATTAGTATGATTATATAATGGTTCATCCTAATTAGTATTCTTTTGTAGTCGTATTTTAAGCTATTCGAAACACTCGTTGTCGTGTTTTATCAGACATAAAACGCCCGACTGCGCCTCGCATTTTATATCAGATAAAACACTCCTACTCGCAGTGGCGTAGTTAGCGGTCCCGCTGTCCCGCCGGGCGGGACTAACAATTTCCAAAAAAAATGTGTAAATGTTTTATAGTGAAGCCAAAACCACTGCTAATTTGCTTATTCTGAAAATTTAAATATAATTATGGTAATTTTTCAGCGCTTTCATTTGTCATTTATTTAAAGTTTACGCAATATTGCTGTCTGCTCTTTGACTTCTTTGTTGTCTAGTAACTGATACCCTGTAGAATTAGCTAATTTCCACGCAATTTATTGCTTACTCACGCTATTCGTGAATCGCATGTCTCGTGTTCCGCTGATTTTCATGTGGCGGGATACGCAATGCTATCTTATACAAGAAATTCTGGTTTCTGGTTGGATAATTGGCGCAGCGCATGCCCAGAACGGTTGTTTTTAATGCCGAAGTCCCGCTATTTTATGAAGGCGGAGGTTGTTAATATTCAAACCTTTCTGCCGAAGCTTTCTGCGCGAGTATTCACGACTGTGACGGTGGTAGGTCATCATATTACTATTCATATCATATTTTATGTTGCTTTTGTGATTTGTATACAATGGCTTCAACGAGCGTGACGAGCCTTATGGAAAGCCACAGCGGAATTTCATTTCATTCGTTGCTTTTAGCATTATATATGTGGTGCTTTTATCGTTATACGAGGTGCTCTTTACATTATACGCGGTGCTACACTTCGAGTTCGAGCATTATACGCGACGATTTTGACATATATCAAGATATATGGGCTACACGCAACATTGTACGAGGTGCTTTTAACATTATACGTGGTGCTTGAGACATTTATTTAATAATGTACGCGGTGTTTGAGACATACGAGGTGCTTTTAGCATTATAC